ATACACATCTAGATGTGTATAAGAGACAGCCCCTTCCCCCAATCCACCACCACCCATTTCTGTCTTTGGAGGAACCGGTTCCCTTTGATCTAGACATCAATCGTTGTTAAAAAAAAAAAAAAAAAAAAAAAAAACTGATGACTGCCCTGTGAGTATATCAATCGTTTGTGATGAAATGAAATTAATTTCAATGAATGTATTTTAATTGCAGGTCCCTGTGCTAGAGTGGCCGGTTGCCGACGAACCCTTGTTTAATGTACAGCAGATCAACACGATGTTAATCTGTCTGCAGAATCTTCTGGTCTCTCATCGGCGAGAAGAATACCTGGGGTCTGTCGACGATGCCTCGTTGAACCGGCTTCGTCTCGCTTTGGCTCAGCACTTAGGAAGAGCATTCCTCTGGGACAGAGATTTTCACTCGATGGACCGATGATCGTAAAGGCTGCGGAGGTGGTCAACTAGATTCTCCTACCCTGATTCTCCTAGATCCTCTTCCATCCAAGACAGCTCCATACAACCCTTCGATAAGAATGAAGTCGGCGAACGAGGTACCGGAGGCGTTTCTGTAACTTCTTCTGTTGATATTGCTGGTAGTGGTGTCTGCTCTTATCAGCACGACTAACACTGGTGGGGGCGTGTTATTAAAAAAAAAAAAAAAAAAAAAAAAAAAAAGAGAAGAAGAAGAAGAAGATATTGCTAGTATCTTGTCTTGATGAAAGAGTGGGGTTTGGCAGTTTTGCATGCAATAAAAAACTATAACTCACCAAAAGACTAACGTCTTTAACCGAATATAAAACACACGGTCATTATCCCTGTATCTGGACTGAAAGTTGCCCCAAATACAGCTGTAATGACTGGGCGTTCTATTTGGGTGAAGACGGTAGATTGTTAGTATCTGATTGTTTGTAGAAATAAGAAAGAATTAACAATTCCGCTTTGTGTTTGTACAAATAAGATCTGAGTTCAACTAACGCTTCTGCCGTTATGAGCCAGTTTTCTTCTTTTCGATAACACTTTTGTGTTGTCGCTTGTTTTGATGAAAGCCCTTTGCATACAATCCAACCTGTACCGAAAAAGGGCATGGCATGCACACGCACACGCACATGCACACACACACACACACACACACACACACACACAGAGAGAGTTCCTGGAAGGTGGTGGTCTCTAGAGTGTGAGTGTGAGTTTCTTCACAGATGTCCACAATCCGAAGATGGCAGGAAGTTTTAACAATCGGGTTGGACGATAACAATTATCTTTTTTAAAGTTTTTTTTTGTTTAAAAGGTTTGGACTCTTGAGCGTTTTGTCACAACGTTTGTGTATAAAATAGTTGAAATTTGACATTTGAAAAAAAAGTTTAAAAAACACTCTAAAAGATTTGTCGAAGGGTGCTAAGGGCTTATGTTCAGCACGGCTGACAGCGGTCAGTTTCTGTGCCCCCTTGCACACTGAAAAACATCCTATGTTTGAACTTTGACCCCTTTTATTTATTTATTTATTTATTTATTATTATTTATTATTTTATTTTCATGTTTGAGCCCTTGTTGTTGTTACCCCTGCTCCAGGAACATTCTGGCAGAGTGAAGAGGTGCCTCATTTCTGTCTCTTCCGTCATGCCGAGGATCATTGGCAGCATGGCCTTGTGTTCGTACTTTGTGTGGACGTACTTTGTGTGTACCCGACTCACACTCTTGGTTGGACATGGTTTATCGAGTTCAGACCTGGTTCATCTCATGTACCCTGGATTCGGACCTGGTTTATGTTTATGTTGTTTGGGCCTGGTTCAATTGTCTGGATGGACCTGATTCATCATCTTGGTTGAAGTTTTTTTGGAGGAGCTTCAATATTATTTATTATTATATTAATTTATTAGCAGATGTTGGCTTTTTTGATTTTTTTTCTCAAGTTCAATATTCCTCTCGGGTTCTGTAGTACAAACTGGTAGGTGGCTGGGCATAATTCTTGTCATAAATGCAAGTGCTGTCACAGTTTGTTTTCTTGAGAATTAGCCTTGGTGGTTGTGGGTTTTGTGGAGGGGGGAGG